CCCATAACTGCACTGCACCCCACACCTGTGCTGCACCCCACACCTGTATGGAACCCCATAACTGCGCCGCACCCTATCCCTGTAGGGCACCCCACACCCCCAGCTCCCCCCTCCCAGCCCCAGCGCACACCTGTCACCTGCCCTCTCCAGGTGCACGCCCACATTCACCTGCCAGGTACCTGTCTGACCCCGCCCACGGAGCCCCGCCCTTCACCTTAGCCCCGCCCATCGACCCATCAGACACGCCCCTCAGCCTATTGGCCCCGCCCCTTCCCGCCTCCGCACTCCAGCCGGGCTCTCGCTCGATTCTCCCTCTCCACCAATCACCTGCGTCCGTCCCGCCCTCGCCGGGCTTCTATTGGCTCATCCCGCTTGGGCTCATCCTCGCACGATGAAAAGGACCAATGGGCGCCGCCCCGCGACCGCCCCGCCGGCTCCGCCGCCTTCGCGGGGTACGCCGGGAGTTGTAGTCCGAGCGGCCGCTCAGCCAGTGGCCTCGCCCATGGGCCGGGACTGCGAGTCCCGGCGTGCCCCGCGCGGGGGGCGGGGCCAGCGGGGCCTGAGGGTCCGCGGGCGGCGGGTCCGCGCACGGGGCACCATGAACGGCACCGGCAGCAGCGGCGGCTCCGGGGCGGCCGAGAGAGAGGAGTTCGCCGCCTTCTTCCCGCAGATCGTCCGTGACCTCACGGAGGATGGGCTGGGCCACCCGGAGGTGGGGGACGCCGTGGCGAGGCTCAAGGAGGTGAGCGCGGGGGCGAGGGGCGGCGGGGAGGGTCGGGGAGCAACGGGACAGGGTCAGGGGGCGACGGGTCGGGGGTGACGGACAAGGGTCGGGGGCTGCGGGCAGGACAAGGGGCGGAGGGCGGCGGGTCGGGGGGTGACGGGCCAGGGTCGCGGGGGCGGTGGGCAAGGCAAGGGACGGAGGGTCGGGGGGCGACGGGCCGGGGTCGCTGGGTTGGGGGCGGTGGGGAGGGGTCGAGGTCGAGGGGACCCAATCGGGGTGCGGTGGGTCGGGGGAAGACAGGACAGGGACGCGGGGCGGTGGGCAGGGCAAGGGTCGGGGGGCGAGCAAGGGTCGGGGGGAGACGGGCCAGGGTTGAGGGGCGATGGGCAGGGCAAAGGTCGGGGTCGGTGAGTCGGGAGAAGACGGGATAGTGTCGGGGGGGAAACGGGACAGGGTCGGGGGGCGACGGGCAGGGCAAGGGGTCAGGGGTCGGGGGTGATGGACAAGGGTTGGGGGGCGGCGGGTGCGGGACCAGGGGCGCGGGGGGAGGTTCGGGGGGCAGGGGGCAGGCGCTGCCCGCGTCCCTGCGCTCCCGCAGGTGCTGGAGTACAACGTGCCCGGCGGGAAGTGCAACCGCGGGATGACGGTGGTCGCCGCGTTCCGGCAGCTGGCGGGGCCGGGGCAGAGGGACCCCGAGAGCCTCCGCTGCGCCCTGGCCGTGGGCTGGTGCATCGAGCTGGTGAGAGGCGTGACCCCCCCCCCCCCCGGGAGGGCACCCCCTGGGCATCCCCCTGCCCCGACCCTAACCCGGCCTCCCGCAGTTCCAAGCCTTTTTCCTGGTGGCCGACGACATCATGGACGAGTCCCTGACCCGCCGCGGGCACCCCTGCTGGTACAAGAGGGTGAGAGCCCTAAGGAGCCCCTTGATGTCTCTGAGGGGGGTCCTGTGGGGTCAGGGGGGCTTTGTGACACCTCTCCCTGCGCTCCTGGTGCAGGAGGGGATCGGGTTGGCTGCCATCAATGACGCCTTCCTCCTGGAGTCCTCGGTGTACCGGCTGCTGAAGAAGTACTGTGGGGGCAAGCCCTACTACCTGCACCTGCTGGAGCTCTTCCTGCAGGTGAGCCTGGCTCCCAACTCCCTCCCCACGGGGAGGGCCTGGGCCCTTTATGGAGGTTTGTGGGTCTTGGGAGCGTTCCTGAAGTTCCTGGGTGTCCTGCTGGGCACGTGGCCTTCCTTCTGACCCCACAGGGCTCAGGGTCTGCACTGTGCTGGTGGGGGAATAAATCTAAAATATCCATAGGCATCAGTGGAATCACTCATTGCTTTGGGTTGGGAGGGACCTTAAATCTCATCTCATTCCAAACTCCCTGCTGTGGCCAGGGACACCTATCACAGGTTGCTCCAGCCTGGCCTTGGGCACTTCCAGGGATCCAGGGGCAGCCACAGCTTCTCTGGGCAACCTGTGCCAGGGCCTCACCACCCACACAGGGAAGGATTTCTTCATAATACCTCATCTAAATCTCTCCTCTGAGTTTAAAACCATCCCTCCTCATCCTGTCGCTTCTGCCCATGTAAAAAGTCACTCTCCCTCTCTTTTATCAGCCCCTTTAAACGCTGGGAGGCTGTAACGAGGCCACAAATCCTTTCTCTCCTCTCCAGACGGGCTACCAGACAGAGCTGGGGCAGGTGCTGGACCTCATCACTGCTCCTGTGTCCCGGGTGGATTTGAGCCGCTTCAGCGAGCAGCGGTAACGGGGACAGGGGGGCAGAGCTGTGGCCTCGACCTGATCCAGGGGCTCATTCTGGGGGAGCTGCTGGTCCCTGAGCTGCAGAGCTCGGGCCTTGGGGCTGAGCCTGGTTCCTCTGCTGCAGGTACAAGGCCATTGTGAAGTACAAGACGGCGTTTTACTCCTTCTACCTCCCCGTGGCCGCCGCCATGTACAT